TTTTAATTTTTAGCCGCGGCTCATAGAACGGTCTCCGTAGTTTTTTTAATTTGCTTTCAAGTACAAACTTTTAGCGTATAACTCCATCTCTTGACCGATCTGAGATCTAATTACAGCCGCGGCTATTGAATATTCCCTCTTGTTTTTATTTTTTTGGAATAGTTAATATTAATGCAGAAAAAAAATCATAATAGAAGAACATAATAATAGGCGAATAAATCAAGAGAGCCGAGGGTTTTCTGGGCGGGTTTGATAACACGTTAAGCACATTAAATGATCACATCAAAGTTCTAATGAGAACTCTTGTCCCAATCTTCCATTAAATAATTTTGTTAAACATATTACATTGATTTATTATATACCGTGAAGAAGAAGATTCGTAACGATTACCAATATACAGAAAGGAGAGAAACTGTTTCTCTTCGTAAGATGATAATTTTCACACTCTTATAAACCATAATGACATTACAAATCAATGATTTCGCATCGGTAACCCGACAGTGAAAATCCAACAGCGAACATTATGTGCAATTATTTTAAAATACAAATCATTCAATAGACGATTAGCTACGAAGAACGAAAAACGCTGTTAGCTATTGATTCGTTTTGAAGCACTGCCATTACCAATTCTATGGTAAAACTTCTGAGCCGTGATGAACATCTTAATGAAATTATAATGGAATATGAAGGCCTAATACATAAAACACAACGTAAGGGACAGTACAAAAATATATTATTTTACTCTTTCGAAGCGGAAATTTATTTTTCTTCAGGCAAAATTTGTAGTACTAAATATTATAAACAGAGCGACAAAATTTTGGTTTATTTAGAGAAAATTACCTTTATATTTTATAATTATGCTTCAGACGTCTATTTCCACGTGACCCGTTTTCTTGTTAGCGCGGAATCTAAAAGTGTACCAAAGAAAACAAAATTTCTAACCTCATGAACTACAGTAAACAGCTCCCAGTCATAGAGAGACATCTGGTGAGCCAAATCATGACTACTGAATGTCTCGAGAACATCGCCTGTTCCCTCTGATGGTCCTTCTTGTTCCGGTAGAGGTCTCTGAAAAGAATCCATATGTAAACAAAATGTATACATTTCGCCCGCACTGTAGAACAGTATTTTTATTAATAAACAAAAAATATACAAGTATATATTTTTTTGGAAGAAAATTAATTTGTGCACATTAGAAATAACATATACTTTGTATTATTGCCTAAACGTAATATATAATTTAATATATTTCATGTAGATATTTGGTTGTAACTAAGCACAAAGCTACACAATATGTTATCTGTGCTCTGCCCACCACGGGTATCGAAACCCGGATTCTAGCGTTGTAAGTCCGCAGACATACTGCTGTGCCACTGGTGGGGCTCAAGTAGATATGTCAGACAAGGTTCTTAATATTTACACTTTTAAAAATATTTAATTTTAACATTCAAGATTATACAGAAATTAAATGCAAATTAAAACCATTTGTACTTTAAGCTTGCGATTAACTTCTTGTTAAAATTAATGGCGTGATGTAATGGATATTACATTCGATAGTTTTAAAAAAAATAAGAACTTGCTTGCCATTCCAAAGAACATAACTGTTTTTATCATTTTATGAGACTTTTAATTATATGTTATAAAGCACATTTAAGTTCATAAAAATGTTTGTAGTTAGTTTTTTTTCTTTTTGTCTGTCTTGTTAGCTAAGGTGCACAGATGAAAACATTAGTCTCATGAAAAAATCTAATTTTATTATCCACCCTTTCGTGGATCTATAACAGGAAAAGTACGGATGTGTTTATAATTTCTCTTTGTTTCCTCCTAATTAATTTCAACAAATAAGTTTCACGAGTGGTTGGATTTTTTGTCAAGTTTTCATAGAACTATATTTAAAAAGTTTGACGTCAAGTAGCATTCGTAGTAAATCAGTTACAATATTTTTTTAAGTGAAGGGAATAGGCTTTTAGCACAACCTTCGTACTACATCTAGATAAGTGTGTGTATTTATTCATGTATATACTATTTTATCCAAAAAATAGTTTGAGTAAAGCGTTTCGAGTTTTACACACTGACAGAGCTGCAACTCTTTGTGCCAAACTCAATTTTGATAGAAATAAATGACAAAAGACACCGTAAATTATCAGACATGACAGTAGGACGAGCGAGAGGAAAGTCAAACAGATAGATAGATATACGAGTATCTAATAGTAGATGTCATTTCAGGGCAAGCAGTCTACGAACACACTTCTCATGCGCGTATTCTTTCGAAAATCTTTTATTTGAATAGAGTTGAGGGTAGTTTAGAAGTTCATCAGTAGAACTAGGTAATAATTATAAAAGTATGAAATTAAACTTTAAGCTTACAAAACAGAATGATGCACTGTCGTGCGAGGATGGGCTTATTGTGAATCAAAGAATGCATGGTTTGTTAACTTTTGCCGTATAAACGCGACTCGCGTTATAATAATGACGGCCAAATACAGTTCTGTAACGTCACTGTATACTATGGATTTCTGGCCTATGATTTTCCCTATCTATCACATTACCAGTTAATCAAATATGTCTTGTGGATGAGACAAACGAGATATCCTTCCTGGAAACAGGTCCTAATGGGTTGTAAGAGTTGATGTTCGGAAACAAATGCTAGACAGTCCCATTTAACGTTTTCTTATCCAGTATTGACAGTGTTAATAAGTGTGTGGTGGGGGGGGGGGGAAGAGTACGGTCATCTATTGAAAATAAAGCAAGATATATCGCACGGGTGAAGGGTTCGAAAATGGAACAGATGCTCGACATTAGGGAATCACTTCCTAGCCTATCATGTTAAACGTAGAACTGATGACGCCTTGAATACATCATTAGAGTCATATGCTAGACAGTCCCATTTAACTTTTTCTTATCCAGTATTGACAGTGTTAATAAGTGGGGGGGGGGCGAGTACTGTCATCTATTGAAAATAAAGCAAGATATATCGCACGGGTGAAAGGTTCGAAAATGGAACAGATGCTCGACATTAGGGAATCACTTCCTAGCCTATCATGTTAAACGTAGAACTGATGACGCCTTGAATACATCATTAGAGTCATATTTAGCGTAGAGCTTTTCACGTTCCTACCCTGCCTTGCGTAGTGGACATCGCATCATAAAGTTGTATTTGGGAAAACAAGAACAAAATCAAACATAGATCTAGAGTTTACTAAACGCTCCTCGTTTTCGTACAAAGGGTTTGTAATAATTCGTTTTCATTAAAAGCAGTAAAAACTACATAACATTCCTTTAGACAGTTTCTTATATTACCAAGCAACCTATATTTAAACTCAAGTATTCCAGGCACCTGGAGTAACTGGCACACACACACACACACACACACGTACGTACGCATGCATACATACATACGTGTGCGTGTAGCTGCGGCCGAGTAGCAGAATAGAAAAACAAAACCCAGTTAAACCTATCTTTCCCGAAGCATCTTGCTGCTACGCGTAATCAGGTAGATGCAAATTACGAGTCATTTTCTGAATTAAGTACTTTGAACATAACTAGTATTAATACGTATCGAAAATGTTTGTTTTAGTTGTGTGAATTTTTCACTGTTTCTGGTTTAACACCATCGTCTATCATCCACAGCCCGTGTTATTGTTTATAGCCAACACTTTTCCTTTATTCACTTTATTTCCTGTCGTTCTGTTTCAGTACGATATACTGGAAAGTCTATTCTTTATGCAGCTATGAACAACATTATAATTAAACGATATCACTGCACGATATTACTGGTGTAAAATGTATGCACAATTTTACTGTTATTCTTTTTTACTTTGCACTGGTACATGTTCTGTCACGCTTCCATGTGTATGTTCTGCGTTTCATTTACACGCGTTGTGTTACTTCTGCAATGAATTTCCACTTCTTTGCGTTCCAAGCATATTTAAATTACATATGTTCTACTTGTTTAATTCCTTTTTTTCATAAAAGTAGTTTTGTTGGTTTATTTCTCAGTTCATTCTCATTTTATCAAATCTGTACTTGATGCAAATACATTGTTTCGTATCCTAAACAAAGATACATTCTTAGCTTCTTATTTTAAACAGACTATATACTACCAATTCATTTTGTGGAAAATTTCACACGTGGAAGTCTTATTCAATCATTGGGGGGTATGGCATGCCTAATGCTTGACTATCTGGATTGTGCATCTCAAGGTCCAAGGTTCGAGTCGGAATACCGCTAAGCCCTCAACACATTATAAAAGAGACAGTCAATCCAGTTATTCGGTTAGAAGTAGATAAATAGGCGGCGGGTGCTACTGATTGGTTGCTTTCCCTCTGGTCAATACTTCTAAATTTAGGATGACAATGCCCGAGCTCTACAGGGCCTCTAAGCCTGGCCTTTTAAGCCCATGTGTCGCATAAATACCAACTGCTTGAAGTAACAACAATACCATAATGTAATGTGGCAGGAAGAAACACTTTCGTGACTTACTTTTCAAAATTTAAATACATTAAAAATGGCACATTCGCTATTTTCAACACGAGGAGTAGGATCGGCACGTGAGTTGTTTGATAGATCTATATTTGTGACTGAGTGGAACTTCAAAACGTATTTACATACAATAGCCGCTCAAACCAATTTTGTGATTTATACCACTAGTTTCTACATATCACATTGTCAGCTAATTTGATCCTCTTTTTAGTACTATTGTTATAGATAATTAAAACGACTTCATACAGCATTGTTATCACACCACTTACTAATGAATCTATCTGATCCGCAGTACAGACGAAGATTTTTCCATTAACGCTGAGCCCAGTTGGAACACTAACTTCCGCATCTTTGAAAGGTACCTTTTCTGAAAAACAGATATAATACGCTTTAGGATGGTAACAAAAAAAGATATCAATGAAATATATTTGTTCTTACGTTGCGCTCAAAGAGATATGAGCAGTCTTCTAGGCTAGTAGTTCGCAATTATTCCATCCTGCACACCACTTGAGTAAGTCAAAACTTTCCATGTACCACTATATAAAATACTAAAACTGCCAAATTTGAAATGGTGTAAGTACAATTAAAACTACAGCTCTAATCGGAGAACTGTCATTCAATGGTGGTATGGCTAATGAATAAATTAATATCTGTGAGTATGAACCTTCTCAATGATTGTCCCAGTGGGGTAGCGGTAAGTTTTCTGACTTATAATGCTAAAATTCGAGGTTTGATTCCCCGAAGTGGACAAAAAAAAAATCGCCCAATGCGGCTTTGTTCAGGAACGCCAACAAACTTTTCAATGGAAAGAATGAAGAACTGAATACGATCACATTTTAAAGTTGTCCTTATTTTATTACAATCGTTTCGAGTACATCCTCATCTATTACCGGTTCTACTTTTTTTGTAAATTGAAATTTTGTGAACAGCCTCTCTGTTGTAAAAATGCCATAATAAATTTTACTGCACGTATGAAAAAAATTATCATTACAGTTGTTAATGTAAATTTACGAAAGTCATTCGATCCTATTATAGATACAAGCTTGTTTAGTGAAGTGTTTTTCTTGTTTCGTGATCAAAAGTAATTTGATACTGTCCTGACTAGGTTTACTGTCTTTGAACAATAGCATACCATCTCGTTATTACCACAATATAATTTTGTGATGAGACAGTAACGTTTTGGTCAGTACATGTGATTATTCGAATTTAACAACAGTCAGTTTAACGAAATAACACATCTGTTTTGAAAATATTTAAAAAAAAAACTGGAAAATATCTAACACCATAAACAAGCACTAACGAAAAACGTTTTTTTTTCAAAATTCGAAACGACGTTTTAGGTAGAAACGCCTTTGGTTCGGATCTCCCGCACACCAAATATGCTCGCCCTTACAGCCGTGGGGGCGTTATAATGTGACGGTCAATCCCACTATTCATTGGTAAAAGAGTAGCCCAAGAGTTGGAGGTGGGTGGTGATGACGAGCTGCCTTCCCTCTAGTCTTACACTGCTAAATTAGGGACGGCTAGTGCAGATAGTCCTCGTGTAGCTTTGCACGAAATTCAAAAACAAATAAACAGAAACGCCTTTATTCAAACGAGTATAAACCAAAATAGAACAAAAGTTTTCTGCTTAAAATGACATTACTTAGCTCTTTGTTGTTTATGCAATTCAGGAGCTAATTTTATCACATTTTCGAAAGCCGAAAAAGTTTCTGGATTAGCTCGTGATGAAATTGTAAAGATCAACTATGACACAACGCTAAAATGAAGGTTTTTCTTTTTCGTTGTTGTTAAGCCTCAAATCTCCCCAATGGGTTATCTGTCATTAATTGCATATCGAGATGACAGGTG